CTACCCAGGGCCAGACAGAGCCCCATGACCCCCACTGAACCCTAAGGGGGTTAATGACATGCAACACCAACCTCAACGGAAGTGCAATCCCGAATGTCCCAGGGAAGAAAACCCTTAACAAAGATGCATAATGATAAATTAAAACAAAGAATTTTATGACCACACAAGAAAGCCTACTGCAGAAAATTGAAATTCTTCCAATACACTGAAATTAGCATTACCTTTTTGGATAAAGGAGCTTGAATTATCAACAAAAAATCTTATTAAAACTAGATATATGTACAGTAGTGTAGTTTACAGTATACAAAGATAATTTGTTTTAAGACGAAGATTTGATTGCACAAGTAAACAGGTATTATAATACCACAAATAAGTATACTCACTGTTTTGTGGTACTATAATACCATAAATAAGTATACTCACTGTTTAACTGCATCAGGAATGTTTAACTGATCTAATGGAACCATCTGTGCAAGCTCTGTCAAGTTATTAACAAATGTTAACTTCCGGTAAAACTTGGTGCTGCAAAAGAATCATGTATTTATATTAGAGATTTTAGCTTCATCTCGAGTACAAATAATACTGTATAACAAAATTCGTCTGCCACGTCCAAAAATTACCTGAAATTTGTATACAGTACTGTATTACACAAGGTATACAAGAAAGTGAGACCACCCTTAAAAAAGCTAAATATATACACAGAGTCAATCTGTCAGACCCACAACTCTTCTTAAAGGAAAATTCTTTTTTCTTTCACCATTTTAAGACCTACAACCACTGTACTACATTTATATTATACTACAATATAATATTATAGATAATATATGAAGGGTACCCAGCTACACCTGGGTACCCCTCTCCCCCCTTTCTAATAACTCTTTCCTTGCCCCATCCTCCTTCCCTCCACACCCCCCCCCCTCCCACCTCTTCAAAATCTATACACTCACTCATTCACTCTCACAAACATGTACACTGACAGACGAGGGCAGTTAACAGAGAAAATGTACCCGACTAGAGAAGTGTTACTAGTGGAGTACCAAAGGGGTTCAGTTCTTGCACCAGTAATGTTCATCGTCTACATAAACGATCTACCAGAAGGAATACAGAATTATATAAACATGTTTGCAGGTGATGCTAAAATACTGGGGAAGATAGGAGATGAAGGCAAATTGTCATACCCTTCAAATTTATCTAGATAAAATAAGTGTTTTGGAGCGACATATGGCAAATGTAATTCAATTTGAATAAACGCCATGTTATGGAATGTGGAATCAGAGAAAATAGACCACACACTACCTACAAATTATGTGGAAAGGAACTAAAGTACTCATATCTCAAAAAGCACATCAACAAACTGGAAAATATTTAAAGACGTGCAACTACAGTAATTGACTTTCAGAACTGTAAGACAAGAGCAATGAGGAAAGGTTAGAGGCATTAAATATGACAAAGCTAAAAGGAAAGAGACAATATGATCCCTACATACAAAATAGTGACAGGAATTGACAAAATTTACAAGGAAAAATTCAGAGACCTAGAACTTCAAGAACAAGTGGTCATAGATTTCAGCTTACTAAACAAAGCTGCAGAAGAAATATAAGAAAATTCACTTCCACAAACAGTGGTTGATGGTTGGAACAAGAGTGGTGGTGGTAGTGTTGGCCAAAACCATCAGTAGCTTCAACGGGTAATAAAGCAGTGCCGTGAAGACGAGACACCACAAGCATAGCACTCGTCCTTTAACTACACTTAGGTAATTAAAAATGGTATGGTTTTCAATCTGGAAGATCTTGTGTAACAAATTTACTTAGTTTCTATGATAGTCAAAGATTTTACAAAGAGAGGGGGTCGGGTTGACCGGATTTATCTGGACCTAAAAATGGCTTTTAACAGAGTTCTTCATAAGAGGTTGTTCTGGAAACTGTAACATACTGGAGGAGTGATAGGGAGGCTTCTATCATGGATGAAACAACAGAAAAATGAGGGCAGTAATCAAAGGGAATGTATCGGACTGGAAGAAATGCCACGAGTAAAGTACAGTAGGCTTCAGTTCTTGCACCACTAATGTTCATTGTGTACATTAAATGATCTACCAGAAGGAATACAGAATTATATGAACATCTTTGCTAATAATGCCAAGATACTAGGGAAGATCAACTTTTGATGATTGTCAAGCTCTTGAAGACCTGGACAAACGTGTATGGAGCACCACTTGGCAAATGGAATTTAATATGAATAAATGCCATGTTACGGAATATAGAATCGGAAAAAATAGACCCCACACAATCTACAAATTATGTGAAAAAGCTTTAAAAAATCTGATAAAGATTTAGGGGATGGTTCTAGATAGAAAACCATCACCTGAGGACCACAAACAACACTGTGAAAGGAGCTTATACTATGCTTTCAAATTTCAGAATTGCTTTTAACCCTTGAACAGCGGTTTCGTTATACGTTGATTCATGATGTAATGTGGTTATCATATGATTTAAACAGTAATTGTCTGGGTTTTACACATATGCAAATATGGATACAATAGCTCTGTGAATGTAGTAGACCCATGAAAAAATCCTGTTACCATTTCATGGTAGCAGGATTTTTAGCTCAAGGCCGACTGATATACCTTGGGCTACTGTTACCACTATAGCCCAAGATATATTTACAAATACTTGCTCTACAACCTCAAATCAAACTAAACTGTCATATTTTTAAACTGGGTACAGCCCTGTATGGTTCTGAAAACTAATTGGATATTCTATGAACTTCAGTAAAATTAATTATTACGAACTTTTAACAACTCCCCACTAAAGTAAAAATGGTTAAGATTTTTACTTTCTCTTGTTCCATAAAAATTTCAGCGTACAGAACTAGTGACAAATGCTGTAGTGGGATATGCAGGTATATGGCATATACCTAGGACTCGATTCTCTCTCTCTGTAATTTCTGTGTTAGTGGAGACTTGTTAGCTATCCTTGTCAAGTTTTCTACCAATTATTTATTTGTTATAATTATGGATGAACCCCTTGTGATCCCCGAGAATCAATCCTGGATACAGCTTTAGCATATACCTAGTTCCCAAAACCTATTTCTATCACTGTGATGAACAAGAAAACTAATTAACAAACCTAATGAAAGGTCTTGAGAATGTCACCACAGCTCTAACCCAAAACGTTGGATGCACCACATGAAGGGCCTTTAAATTTTTGCGAAGTTTTCTGTCAATCATCTGATATGCTCGTTTTAGCCAATGGAAACTGGGCACACTAGTTCTTGGAGTCCCTCCAGCAAGATACACCAAGATATAATCATCAGCTATCAGTTGCTCAAGAGTAGATAAAACATACCTGGAATGAGGGGAAATACAAAAATATTACAACAAAGATCAGTACTGTAATAGAAAAATATTTTATATTTACTGTATTGTTTGTCAAGAGAGGCACTAAAAAAACACAAATTTTATCATACGAACAAAAAGAGATTGTCCATGACATAGTTGTAGTCACGCCGTGACCGGTCTGGCAACTGGCAGGCACATATGACGATCACAGCATTCAGATTTTTTCCCAAGTAGCCTCCATGGCTTATGCACTGTAATACATGTTCAAACATTAAATAATGCTTATATATTAAAATAAAAAATCATTAAATAAATTGGCTAAGGTGCTGGACTTCAAGTGAGCCAACATACAATAACAACTCTTACCTTTCAGTACAGTATTCATTTAGGAACATCAATTCTATTCATCTCTTAAACCCTCATAATAGTTGGAAATGGGGAAATGGCACTAACTTTCTTCTGTAAATCTCTGCATTTGAAGAGACAGATGTAGATATTACAGCTTTTCCTATTTAATACTAGTAAGGACGAGTGAAATGGAGTACTTTATGGCATACATCGCCGAGTTCCTCATGGAACACATTTTTCAAGAAAAACACATATGCAGCCAAACTTTTTGAAACCGAGCATATTACCAGAGTCACTATTGCTGTGGTGGAAATACACCACTAGCTGTATGTATTTCTTGCCCTCTGTATGATGATGAAACATTGGAGCAGAGACTTGCCCTGTCACATTTTCAGGAAATACATGTCTCGCGACAGGCATCTTACTTCTCGGGTACATTCATTGAGAAAAGTGACAACCAGAACGAAGATGATAGACTGTGGAAGGTGAGGTACATCCTCAGTGAACTGAATGGGAAGTGCAAAGATTTAGTTCTACATACTAGGTCAGAAGTTGGTAACTGATGTATCACTTATATTTTTCATGTACCTTCATCCACAAAATTGAACTAAAATTCTTCATACTTTGTGATTGGGAAACAGGACTGATCATAGGCATTATATTCTGGTGCTAAAATAGACATTCCCAGTAACAATTCTCATGGTTTGTCAGGCAGTGTGGTAAAGACATTAGTAGCACGTTGTACTGTTGAACAAGGGTCTATCTTGAGGTTATCTTGAGATGATTTCGGGGCTTTAGTGTCCCCGCGGCCCGGTCCTCGACCAGGCCTCCACCCCCAGGAAGCCAGCTGACTAACTCCCAGGTACCTATTTACTGCTAGGTAACAGGGGCATTCAGGGTGAAAGAAACTTTTGCCCATTTGTTTCTGCCTCGTGCGGGAATCGAACCCGCGCCACAGAATTACGAATCCTGCGCGCTATCCACCAGGCTACGAGGCCCCTACGAGGCCCCACATATATATAAAATACAAAATTACTATACCAGTCCCTTGCTAATGAGGTTTCTGCTTGAAAATAATACTGAATACTGAAGTGTATGGCACAGTAAAGTCATGGAGGGACGTGCCAGTGTTTGACAAAAATATTTCTGTATACTAAAATAAAAAAACAAGCAACATAATGCTTGAAATACATTGGAGAAAGACGCAAAGTAAATATGTTGACAACCATTCACACTTAATATTAATATGGTAAACATTTACATAATAAAATGTATGAAACATCAGAATGCTCAAATGTATTCAAGTCACTAAGATGTGCACTATATTAATTGATTAGAACAATATAACAATGTTGCTGCTGCTATTATGCTGTACACACACTTTATATATAACTATGTACATTTTTGTGCACAATTATAAACCACTAAACCATTCTGCTAGGTATGGTAATCTCCTAGCATGTTATCAAGAATTCAGACTGTGTCTGCATGTTTTGTGCAATATTATGACTGTTTGCATTGAACACACAATACTGCCTTCATATTTCTAATGTTTTACCATGAATTTTTCAAGTGCAATGATACAACGGGCTGTCAAAGCTATTTGTATCACAGAACAGACAGATCATAGGAATGCACAGATATTTTGTGTACCTAATATGTGCGCCGTAATATATTCTTTGAACAATAAGACAGTTTTTGCTGTTATTGCACTATATATACACATATATACAGTATCTACATTTTATGAACCAAAACAAAACTCTAAGCAGTTCTGATGGGTATGATGGTAATGACCAAGGCGCCACATGCTACCAGTAGACAACCCAAGCAGACGACACCACCTGTGGGATTATGTGGCCAAGTTCATTTGTTTATTTAATTTCCTTTGTGAGTGGACCATAATAAAATATTTAGTAGTGGACTGTATTCCATAGGCAAGTGAAGTTTCACACAATTCTACAGTGGGGGGGGGGGTTAAAGTGTTAGTATTAATTGGGATAGAGTAGGCTTAGTAATTTATCAAATATAAATTAATTACTAATGTTTATTACTTAAATTTAACTTAATTTCCCTGCACTATCCAGGTTGTTATTCAATAAATTTAACCGTTTAGCTGTTTAGTAGATCCGTAGTTCAGTGCCTCGTGCGATACCATCAGTTAGCCAGAGTCAGTCACATGTTTCATAGCTGCCCACTTTTCATGACATTTGGCTATTCCTCGTTATGGCTAGTAGCCATGCCTGCCCGCAAATTAATTTTTAGTTGGGAATAACAAGAAATTAATATATACTTTAATTATAACCTATCTAGGTTAGAAGTTAAATCTCGTTTCTTGTGTGTTTAGTTGTTATTGCTCTGCCTGCTTTTTTTTTTTTTTTTTTTTTTTTAAACATAAAAGTTCTTATTATATATCATGCCATGAGTCCCAAGAAAGTCAGTGGTAAAGTTCAACCCAAGTAAGTAATTAATTATCAAAAGAAGCCACCAAACCGGGAAGGCTATGTAGCACCATCAAAGTGCGAAATAATAAGAGGGCTCTAAATATCACCAAGAATGCCAATACGAGAAGAAAAACGCATATGGCAAATGATATCAAAAGTATCCAATTCACCAAGAATTCTATCGAGGGACAAGTGACCGCAAGGGACGTCGGAAAGCAAGACACGCACGTGTCCTGGAAGTCAGGACATTCAACAAGGATATACTCAACTGTAAGAGGGACAATGCAATTTAAACAAAGCACCACCCTGCTCCTTATGAGCAGGGCGGCGCTCCATTAAGTGACCGTAAGTTAAGCGAGTATGGCCAATCCGCAACCTTGCTAGAGCCGTTTCCCACTGCCAGTTACGGTGGCAGGTGGAAGGCCACAGGAACACACTACGTTTGAGAGTACGCAGCTTGTTACCAACCACAGAAGACCAACAACCCTGCCAACGGGCAAGGATCGAGGAACGAATAACTGGATAAAAGTCGGAATAAGGCAGCTTCCCTAGCGGCAGCATCCGCACGCTCATTTAAAGAAACACCAATATGGCTGGGAACCCAGCAAAACTCTACTGATTTAAATTTACTTGAGATAAGAAACAGCCAATGCTGAATCTTGATGACCACCGGATGGTCAGGATTAAAGGACCTTAAGAGCCGTGAGGGCACTACGAGAGTCAACAACAAAAGAGGATTGACAATGAGAAAGCAGGAGACAGAGAGCATAGAGAATAGCATAAAGTTCTGCTGTGAAGATGCTAGCCTCTGGAGGAAGGCGACACACAAGTGCGGTCAGGAAAAACAATAGTAGCCCACACCGTTCGCAGACTCAGACCCATTGGTGAAGATGGAAACGGAAGTTCAACCTAAACTTTTGTTGAAAAGGCTCACCCAAATCAAGCTGTAGCAGGCCGCTGTGTTAACCTTTTTAATGACAATGTGATGTCTCACTTCAGACAAGTGTTACAATGTAGGGAAAAACAAGTGTCGCTAGACGGGTTTTTAGTGCGGAAAACAGTGAGCCACAAGCAGGTCTTGGTGGTATGCAGGAAAAATGTAGAAGAGAGTGTACCCCAGAAAAGTCATCCTTGCCTGATGTTATAATGGAAGGGGACTCCCCCTACCAAACACTAACACCTCTCCTCCTCATCATCTTCCCATACGCCAACAAGAGTCCTCATTCAAGGCAAGATATACATACTGTATTGTAGCTAGTACAAAATGTGTTATTTGGTATAAAATGTATTTTTAAGTTAATATTTTTGGAGATGTGGAATGGATTAATTAAATTTACAATGTTTCTTATGGGAAAATTCGTTTTGGTTGATGACGTGTCTCTAGGAACGGATTACGATCGTAAACGAAGTAGTTTAAACCACAGTAGTTTAAATTAACATATGATAACTGGATTACCTAGTGAATAAATGCATGTTAACTACACTTTGAGGGGTTGAAATAACAATTGCTCATTAACTTTGCAACACATGGTGTACTTTTCATGTCAGTTCACCCAATGTAACATCGCACACAAACCTTTTGCAATTACTCAAATAATCTTCAAGTACCAGTACTAACCTCTCAGTACGAAACAAGATCTCCTTTCAATTTATCATCACTCTCAAACCATGAGAAAGAGTGTTATAGCATTTATCAATCTATCATAAACCCAAGTTATGAAATCATAACTTGCATACCTTACGATATGGAGATATAACTTTCATGTCAATTCTTCGCCATACACCACCAATTACTACACTCCTCCAGTGCCTTTCATCGGCAGTTTCTTCAGCAGCAGATAACTCTGGTATCATCTGGGGTGGTGGTGGTGGTATAGGTTCAAGGTCCATATAGTACTTCATGTTTGCAGGTTCTGAGCTTTCAAAGGGTGAAATTTCTATGTCTTCATTCTGCAATAAAATAAATTCAATTATAGTGTCCCCTCCCGAATCCAGACCTTCCTATAATGGATCACTAAACTATGGACCTGACCAGATCCCATTCTCCAAATTTCCTGCAGCTATTTTCTACCGGGATAAGACAGTCCCAGTAGTACAGTCGGATTTATTCTTGGCTCACAATCGCAAATTCCAGGTTCGAATCCCAGGCGGGAGAGAAATAGCTGGGTGCATTTCCTATCACCTAATGCCCCTGTACACCTAGCAGTAAATAGGTATCCCAGGAGTTAGTCACTGTGTTGTGGGGTTACATCTTGGGGAGGGTCAGTAATTCAATCCTGTGAGAACCTAGATATAAGCCTAACCTTTACTGTATGTATAAAACTGGCTACCTGTTCCCCAACACAATGAATTATTATTAGTAATTTTTCTACATTCTTTTTGAAGCTAGCGTTGAATATAATGAAATGTAAGTTTCTGGGAGAGCTTTGTCAGCTCTCTGAAGCTATCCCATTGATATAGTGCTATATTAGTTGGGGTCATCAGTCGCAGAGTTCTTGTTACCTACCAGGAACCAGAGCTAAAAACCAGGCCCCCTCAGAAAGGAGCAGTTCAGAGAGTATCCTGGGAACTGACAGGTACCCCTCCAGTAAATATATTGCATACAGTACTGTATAAAATTTGTGGCCCTCATCCTACAAGTTTTATGGTGAAGTGGCCCATAGCATCAATGAAGTTGGACAACCCTGGTTTAGAGGAATCTTATAAGAATACAACTACCAGATTTTGAATGGATGAGTCATTTTCACCTGAATAATAAAGTTCAATAGTTTAATAATTTAATTTTATTTCTTCCCGTTCCCTTCCAACATATACTACAACCCCCCATTCCCCCATTTCATCTGTTGTGAAAAAAGCAGCATTGATATTCAAAAAATAAAAAAGGGAACAGTAATGTCATATGAAGGCAAGTCTGACTCTTATAATTTATCTTTAGATTAATACACTTTAGTAGCTTCTGCACTTAAATTAGCATCATGCCTGACATTTAAGATTCTATGTAAAAAAAACACACCTCAATGTCATAATTTTCCTCTTCTCCGTCCCTCCTTTGGCTAAATGCAGATTCAACGGAAATATTATCATCCTCAAGAGGCGACTGCAAGATATCCTCTGCAACCGAAATAATCTTTCGCTGACTCTCGCTACCAAACTCCAGGTCTGCTGATCGTTCTATATACATAAAAATGAGAAAAATAAAGTTAATTTAAATTTATATAAAAGGTCAAATTCCTGCAAGACATTTAACTGTAGTTTTTCTACAAGTTGAAGTAGCAATGCCATAGGACTGCCAGCAGCCCTATGGCATTCTGGGATTTTTTCCAAGATGGCTGCCTCTCACTGGAGGTCCCAAGAGTCCATTTTGTACACAACCTACCGTGCACGTTTTGAATGAGAACGAAATATTAAAAAGGTATTTTCTCGGCTCGTGCAGTTTCCCACCTACCAAGTTTTCTCATCAGGCACAGTCCACTTGTTAAGCTGACACACAATTGTAATGAAATTTACATTGTAATAGATTTTTAATTCACACAACTACCTCAGCATAAAGTGATAAAACAAATTAAACTGATGAAGTTACATTTCTAGATTATAATATATCAAGCAAGTGGGTAGCACATGATACTGTGAGAGTTGGTAGCACAAGGTAGGATACTAGGAAGATGAAATTAGTTACTTCATTGTTCTACTTTTGAGTAAAGTATAGGTTGGACAAACTTTTAACTTCATTTGGGAGCGAGTTCCATATATTGGGTAATTTTATTTGTTTGCACAGATTTAGTTTGACTGAAAATATCAGATTAATTTCTGGTGTGATGCTCACGGGTTCTATTACATCCATCTAAGTAATTTTTTAAAACAAGATGAGAATTTAGGAATAAGGTTTTGTAAGTTCAAATTGCACAAGGGAATGTGTGAAGTGTGTGTGTTTAGCATGTTCGGACATTTAAAGAGAGGGGGCTGTGTGTTATCTGAAAACAGAATTTATAGTTCTGATAACTGATTTTTGCTGGGTGATAGGTTTGAAGTAGTTTACAGTGGTTGAACACTATGTACAGATACCAAAAGTTAGATAGGAATAGATTAGAGAGTGGTGTAGAGTAAGAAGAGCAGAGTGAAGAACAGAAAATTTGATTGTAGCTGAAAACACATATGTAAAGTACTGTACATAAGAAATTCCTACAGTATTTTAAATCTTTTTTTTGGTATTTATTCCTCTAAAGTACTGTACAGGGAATGAATGACTTACTGACTTTCATTGCAGAGGAGCACTGGGCTGTAATCTTAGTCTAAATATGAACTGAGCAGGAGAGATTGGTTTCATTACAATTATGCAACATAGTAAAATTTAGAGGATTTTACCACAGGATTGAGGGAGAAATAACCAAGATGTTAAAAATATCTTTGCAATTCTTACAGACCAGCTGGAAGATAAGTTTCCATCTGGAAATGGAAACTTTGATGCTTTAATAAGAAACAAAATATATCTGAGAAAAAACACATACCTTCAGAAGAGTTTCCCTTATTGCTACTAATAGGTTCAAAAGCAGCAGAGGCTACATCAGAAACATCACTGCTTTCAATCTGCAGCAGAGACACACTAGAGTCATTGTTGTTACCTTCACATGTGCTTGTAATGACAATATCTGGTACAGGAACAGTTATGGAACATACTTTTCTGAAATTGTCATAAGGTCCATCATTCTTGGAATCTTGTAATTTATTCACTGTTGTATCAGTAATTTCAGCATTTGAAAGATCTGGAACATCAGTGTACTCTTCACTAGTGCTCCCACTCAGGTCAAGTGTAGGGGCTTTAATTTTTTTAAGACCAATGTCTTGAGATTTGCTCTCGATAAAGACCCCTTCTACTTCCAGTTCTTTGTACCCTGTTTTGCCTAGTCTGAGTGATTTACGTCTCTCAAACCTAATGCCCATATCTTCAAACTCATCAATAAATGCAGTAGAAGACCTTTTAGAAATATTAGTGTCAGATCCACATATTTTTGAGTAGCTGTCATCAAATACAGCTCGAATGTCCATCTTGACAACCGTGTCCAAGTCGAGCCCTTCTACCGATATAATTTTCTTTGGAGAAGAAATTCCACTATCAGTATTGCCGCTATTGTTAGTATTTTGTTGATCCTGAAGAGAGTCTTGAAGAGCCTGGATCACTTCCTTATTAACATATTCACTGTAACGCTCAGAATTATTCAAAACTTCTTCTATTTCCATGGGTGTAAGAATGTCCTGCAGTCTTCCACTAAGGTTGTATATAGCTTTATATTTTGTAAAATCCAAACATTCTCTAACTTTCATAAGTGTACTTTGTTCAATGCTCAGACTTTCATCACTTTGAGTTTCTTCTGTCATGTTCAAACTCAGATCTGCCGAGGTACAATCCGATATATTTTTTGTATTGCTAGATTTTGGAGTGGATGTATTGGCATGCAACTGCTGTGGCCCATCATGCAATAACCTTTCATTTATAAGATTTTCACCAACCACAATGCCAGAAATGTCTTCTACCTCTTCACTATCATTTAACATATTCTCTATTTCCATCAGATCTCTTGCAAAAGTTCCAACATCAGATACAGACTTGTCTGTATCTCTCTCTCGTCTGTTATTCTTAGGCAACATAAAGCTATCAGTGATGCCCGACTCCTCAGGAACCATCGTGATTTCTTCTGAAACAATTTTCCTTCGCATGCTGCCATGCCGCTGAAACTCTCCAGCTAGCAATAACCCTTCAATCTTTTCAGCATCAGGAGCATGGATGGGTGTTAGGTTTACTTTACGGCGAAAACTTTTATGTCTCACAAATGCATTTTCATGAGAGTTAGGAAGATGAAATTCCTCAAAATATTCTTCCTCCAAATCACTACTAACTTCAAAGCCATCTTGCTTGGGCGAATTCTCAGATGATTCTAACTCCTCTGCAAGAAAAAAACTACTATTACTATGTAAAAAACTATCTGAAATATATACACATGTACTGCCAATATTTTTTTGAAATGCCATACTGAATACGAAAAAATTGCATTAGTCAAAAGAGCAAATTTAAATATATCATGTATTTAAAAGATGAAGAAAACCTCTTGAACCTAGCAAAGTGGCTAAATGTCCACCCTTCAAAAACTAAATTAATGAATGACAAGTAAACAAATCAAAGTAAAAAACCAGCGTTGAATGTAATGAAACGCCATTTTCTGGGCGAGACCCGGAGGCTCCCCGGAGCTTTACCAGGCTGATATGCTAATGTCAGACTTTGGCATCAGTCATGTGTATGGAGTTCTAGGGCCTACCGGGGACCACGGCCAGAACCAGGTCCCCTCAGAGAGGCAAGGGGAGCAATGGCCTATAGAAACCCCAGTGTGGTTGGAAGCAATCTATGTCTGCCATCGACCGGGTCAAGCATCCAGAAAGGTAAGCATTCCAAAACAAACACCTATTCTGGTGAAAATTGCTACCTAAAGCTGAACTAGTGGATAGAACTCAACAGAAAAACAAGCAAACTAGTATGACGTCATACGTTACCGCGCCGCTGTCTGCGCAGCTCCCCCCTCCCCGGGAGGGGGAAGGGGGAGCCCCAGACCTCCCACGCCGGCTATCCACCCATCAGTTCTGAGGCTGGATGTCAAAAACACGCGGAAAACCGCCGACCGGAGGGAGGGAGGGTTGCTGGGGCGCCTCCGGGTCTCGCCCAGAAAATGGCGTTTCATTACATTCAACGCTGGTTTTCTGGGGGGAGCCCCGTCGGCTCCCCGGAGCTAACTACCCACAGAGGAAGGTCAAAGGGACGGAACCGAGAGGCAGACATCACGCAACCCCCATGGAAGCGAGACAACCGGCAGCAAACGCCAACCCAAGGCGCCACAGCCCTGAAAAATCCCGGGAACAACACGAGAACAACGAGTAGCAAGGCCAACGAACAAACACCAAAATTCCATGCCCGAAAGACCGCAAGGACACGTCGCCCAGACGGCAGTGAGAGCAGCAAAGCTACGAACACCACGGGCATGAGGGAAGAACACGGGCAGCCGAGCCGCAAGAACACGGCTGACAACCCGGGACACCATCACCTGCGAACCGGGAGGAACAGAACCGGATCAATGCAAAACGCGCTCCGGACCCAGACGCTGTGGCACGCAAACAACAGAGGAGGGCCGCCACTGAACACAAAACACAACACACCCCCGGCCCGACCAACGAAGCACCAACAACCCTGGACCCCTCCAGAACACTGCAGCCCCACCCCACGCCAGAAAAGATGGAGACTGCTGCCACCGAACAACCAAAATGCTAAAACCGAAGGAGCAAGAAAACTCAGCGACCCGACCCCCAGAGGCAAATGTCAAAAAGAAAGAGCCGACGAAAAAACACACCGGAACCGAAAGTGCACTACCAACCGAGGAGAAGACAGAGCACGCTGACCAGAGACCAGGACAGTGCAAGCGGCGCACGAACAGGCCGGAGGTGAAACGACGCATGAGACAGCTTACTAACGGTGCAGAAGCAACACCAAGACCGAAAGCAAGCCGAAGCGGCTCCGCCAGCGCCGCACAAAAAGAGGCGACAGTATGTGGCAAGACGACGGCCCCCAACTCCCACCAGAAAACCAAGCCGAGAGTAAACCAAGCTAACAAGAGTAACCACCTAAGAAGGGACAGGAAAAGGAAGGACTGCCAAAATACAGTACCCCATACTGCCGCCAAGAGAAGCACGCAGGTGGGACACCTACCATGAAGCTACCCGACCACCAACCGGAGGCGAGACCGCGAGGCAGAACATAAGCAGCCCCGACAAGGCCCCTCAAAGCCCAGGAAAAGGCGGAGCCGCGGGAAGATCTCGGGCGCGACCACCGAAACCCAGGCGGCACAAGGAGATGGAACGTCTGCAGAACAGAAAAACTCCCCCAAAGCAAGCAAGCAAGCCCACCAGGAGTTCAGAAATGACGGGTCCGACGCGAGACATCGCAAGACCCCAAAAACCCAACCGGCAGGGCAAGCCAGGAAACCAAAGGCGGCGGAAGGGTTGCCGCCAGAACAGTACCCAAACCAAGGGGTACAAACAACTGCAATAGACCGAGACAAAGAAGCACACCACAGGACACAGGCTGAAAAACGCCCAAGAAGCCCAGGAACACACGCAGAACACCTCTGCTGCAGAGGAGGCAGGAAGAAAGAGCAGAAGCACAAAAACCCCAGGAAAACAGCAGCAAAGTGCCACACCACAACCGGACACAGGAACAAGGACACACCACCGCGAAACACGGTACCAATGCACACGTGCAGTAGCAGCAACAGGCACCACCACAACATGCAACATGTAAATAGCAACCCCATTCTGCAAAGGCAGAGAACGGAGCAGGCAGACCCCAAACAGGGCCAACAGAGACACGACAAAACCCAGCAAGCCCAGAAACCTGCACACCAGGCGACCGACGGCGGAGAAACCCCGCTCGATACCTGCTGGATGGGGTACTGGGAGCTCATTTACACCCCAAGCCCGTCCCGAGGCCAGGCTAAACCGGCCAGAGGGTGGCCCACCAGGCAGCTGCTTTGAGCGGCCCGCAGGCCCACATACCCCCACAACCAGGATGGGCCGGAACATCTATTCGAAAACAGGCTAGCGTGCTCCGAAAGTCCCCGGACTTACCAGCAATAAGGCTTATGCTCGCAAGTAGATCATGTAACAACCGCAGACCTCTGATGATTATACAGTGTTCCCCAATTGTGCCTATAGCACCACTGCACTCCACTGGTACTATCCCACAAGTTCTACCAGATAGGCGGGACCCAAGAGCCAGAGCTCAAACCCTGCAAGCACAGCCAGGAGCCTTACCAGGTGAGTACAGAACCAACCCCACAACCCCCACACCACACAACATGAAAAAAGGTGGGTCCCCAGAATGACTCTAGCATGGGTTGGATATGCACATGAGGGGGACAGGAAGGGTTGAAAAAGGGACAGTCACTAGTGTGCGAACGGTCTCAGTCGTACAAAAATATACCTAAATAAAGACAGGTATATAAACACCGCATCCAGCGCCCGGCCAAAAGATGCCAGACCGCAGAAACTCACCTGGCGAATGGTAGCACGAACGTGACACGACTCAACCGTGCCCAGAAGAACCTGGGAGCACCACCAGGTGAAAACGCCAGAGCCGGCCCCGGCCGGACCCGCAGGAGAGCAGGTAGAGGCGAAGGAGGCGGCCCACACCCATGACAAGGAAAACCGCGGCATCCTCCCCACAACTGGGAACCAGGACACCCCCGGAGCAAAGGGGCACAAACCGCAGCCAGGGAGAAGAGCGAGAGGCGAAGCACTGTAGCAAAAAGGGCACAAAACACCAGCACTGAAACACCGCCCAGACCAAAACAAATTACGGCGCATGCGCACGACACGCTGGCCAAACCGACAACCCTCTCTGCGGGAAGGCGCCAACCAGGACTACTGCACTAGAAAAGTAGCCAAAAGAGGAAGCAGGAACAATAAAACCGGCCAATGAAGCAAAGAGAGCCCAAAAAGGAACCCAACCGGGCCACAAGCAGCCCAACCGGGCCACAAGTAGCCCAAAACTGCGACAAGGACAAGGAGCCGACAGACATTCCAATAATGCAGGAAGTAGCGAAAAACCTTCCTGAACCCTCGAGAACACAGAAGCCAACACTAGTGATATTTGATGATAGTGATGTGGGAGTTGCACCTATGTTCCGTACACAGGTGACGACATGACAAAGTGATTATTTTATTGCATATTTTGATGAGCAGTTCATGCAACATCTTGTTGCCAAAACCAACCGGTATGCAGGGGCAACTTCTTGCAGGTGGCATATAACCTGCTTCACGTATGGTACGTTGGAAGGACACGACCGTGGCCGAGTTGTATGTGTTCTTTGCTCTGTATATGCTCATGAAACATTCGGTGAAGCACATCATACAGGATTATTAAAACAAAGAATGTGCTGTATCAACCCGTGTTCAACAAATACATGTCACGAGACAGGTTCCTGATACTACTACGGTGCCAAAACTTTGAAAACATTGCAAATGTTGATAGAAATGATCGACTATGGAGAGCACAAAAAGTGTTCAGTGATATCAGAGGGAAATTTCGTGATCACTTTGTACCAGAGTACCAGGGCAGAATGTTGTCATTAATGAATCCATAGTTCTTTTCAAGGGCTGTCTTCTTTTCAAACAGTACATCCCATCGAAATGGCACCGTTTTGGCCTCAAATTCTTTGTACTGTGCAACTGTGAAACTGGAATGGTGACTGATATATATTATATTATATTATATTATATTCCGGTACAAACATAGACATACCCCCACAGGATCCTCACAGGTTTTCTAGCAGTGTGAAGACGCTCATAGAACCACTGCTGAACAAGGTGCACATTCTGTACACTGACTATTATACGAGCCACTTGCTAACAAAGTTCTTGCTTGAACGTAACACAGAAGTGTGTGACACTGTAAAGACACACAGGAAAGAAATGCCAGTTGTTTTAAATAATATTGGTGTAGGCAATTGTGAACTTCGAAAATGTGATAAGATTTCAGCAGTGCGTTGCAAAGACAGACGTGAAATCAATATGTTGTCAAGTATTCACACTGGTGAAATGCATATATATGAGACTTGTAGATAAATGTGACATGATGGTTGATGCCTTCGAGTGTGTTCGCAAAAGTGTAAAGTGGACGAGGAAATTCTTCTTTCATCTTGTGGGCGTAACAGTACTGAAATGTTTCAACATTTGGTGAAAACAGGCCAAAAACCATCAATTCGAGATTTTAAGTCAGGCTCTAGTGTCGCAATTACTCGTCAAGAGTAGCCAGGAAGACAGTGTAAGGACAGTTGTTCATGCCTCAAGACCACATTTAGTCTGCAACAGACTGGCTGCTAAAGATGGCTTTACAATTCACAAGCCTGCCTACTTACCAACCACCTACAGGAACTAAAGCCAAATGTATATGCGAGTGCATTGTTTACAAGAACTCGGAACGAAAACCTAGTTAGTGAAAATCTTTATGTACCATGTGTCGAGTGCAAAGTCCCGTTCTGTCTCATGGACTGCTGCTTTGAATATCACTCACTTGCTAAGTACTGAGTATGTAATACATTGTGTTACTGTGTAAATAGTGTGAAACTGTACATAATGTAATATTAGTGAATTTTGAACAAGTAATATTGTGACAAACATTTATTGTGGACACATTACTGACATGTATCACAGTTTCATGGAACATTATGAATGTTCTACTGTATAAATATTGTAAAGGACAAGTTACAAACCTTACCTCCTGTGGAGATTAGTTTCTATTATAAATTATTTATAAACACAAATGAGTTTATTAGAGAATGTTTTCTTGAAAGAAATCTGCAGCTGGCAACTGGGAGGCCACGAGTGACTTATTACTCCACCAGTAAAGTGGAGTAATAAGAACTTCAGCTGAAGATCGTTCGATGAATAAGGTGTATTAGAATAGCCAAACTGTGTGAAGGAAAAGTGGACTTAATCAAAATACCTGTATAGGGACTGTGGTTAATGGAGTAATTAAAGGGTTGGATTGGAAATGTTGAATAAGAGAGTAAGGGGCGATGACAAAACCGGGGGGACGGATGCCGTTTACGACCTGACGCGGAGCACAAGCTGTCTGACCGGTCCTTGTTTTCTGAGGCTTTTCTCCAGCCATATCATAAGATAAGCCAGAGTGTTGTATTAACAGGGTTGCAAGGTAGAGTAGAATATTCGGATATCATTCTGAGCATTTTTTGAGAGAGAAAGTCAAGATTTCCTAGGGATTTATATATTTGTCACAGGCTGACAGAGGTAGTGCTGGAGTGCACAGTTCCAGTGTTGGACTAAGAGCTGTATGGGAACCAGAGCCCATTTGGGTGATAAGCGAATGTTTTCCTTTTGAATGCATTGATTTATAAGGAATGAATTATGTGATGTCTGCTTAATACCTGCTTGATAGGGTTCTGGGAGTTCTTCTACTCCCCAAGCCCAGCCTGAGGCCAGGCTTGACTTGTGAGAATTTGGTCCACCAGGCTGTTGCTTGGAGCAGCCCGCAGGCCCATATACCCACCACAGCCCGGTTGGTCCGGAACTTCTTTTAGAAAACAGTCTAGTTTTCTCTTGATGTCCACGGTTGTTCCGGCAATATTTCTTAGTCGCTGGGAGGACGTTGAACAACCGCGGACCTCTGATAATTATATACCGGTTTCTCCGATTGTGCCTATCGCACCTCTGCTCTTCACTGGTTCTATCCTGCATTTTCTTCCATATCGTTCACTCCAGTACGTTGTTATTTTACTGTGTAGATTAGAGACCTGGCCCTCCAGTATTTTCAATGTGTATATTATTTGGTATCTCTCTCTTGTCTCCTTTCTAGTGAGTACATTTGGAGAGCTTTGAGACGATCCCAATAATTTAGGCGCTTTATCGCGTCTATGCGTGCCGTATTTGTTCTCTGTATTCCCTCTATTTCAGCAATCTCTCCTGCTCTGAAGGGGGAGGCGAGTACTGAGCAGTACTCGAGATGGGACAACACAAGTGACTTGAAGAGTACAACTATTGTAATGGGATCCCTGGATTTGAAAGTTCTGGCACATGTGTTTTATAAATATATATTTATGTCATTTATCTACTAGGTTGTTTCCCTACAACTTGAATTCTCCTTGGCTCAAATAAAAGCCTTATTCCCCTAGACAACATTAAAATACATGACGACCCCCACCCGTGATAGGACACACATTCATCAGATACGATACAAAAAATCCTTATAAAGCATTGAAAATACATACTGTAATTATTATTATTTGTAAATATATTTGTGGCAACTTGCAAGGCTTGAATGGCCCGTGCGACCGCATCTGGGAGTTTAACGCACAAGCACCCAGTCCGTGATGACGTCATGCGCCATTTTCTCCACGTCCCTACAGCCATAGTAGTTGCGTAGGTGCAATTTTACATTTTTTTTTTTTTTTTTTTAACATGTACATGTTCAGGGAAGGGAATTTATCATTAAAAAAAATTGTGAACACTTGATTTTCGGCGCACAGGGAGAAATTTTACAATAAACGCAGCGCATCACAGAGGTTAAAGCTACAGTATTGTACTGAAAAAAGTCAGCATTAAATGTAATGAAATGCCCTTTTCTGGGGGTAGCCCCAAAGGCTCCCTGAACCTATCCGAACTGATATGTACAGTACTTCATTAGTTTGGGGTCATCAGTCACCGAGTTCTTAGCCTACCGGGGACCACTAGCCAGAACCTGGCCCTCTTAAGAGAGGAACAGGGAGTAATGGCATATGAGCACTCTACATGTAAAGGATTGTCATTTTCTGCCATCAACTGGGGTAGTAGCCCAGAAAGATTGGTAATCCAAAAACAATTAGCTGGTAAAATGCACTCTACCACCCGAAAAAGCGAAGAATTCCTCACAAATGAAAAGAAGCGAAGAAACTAGCAACTCTGTATGCAAACTAGTACTCCCGCTCCCAGGTGAGAATATTACAAACAAATCATAAATTTGCAAATGACAAAGATTTATGGTAAAGTAGAAATTAAAATTTTATTTAAGTTTTGCCAAGAGACCTACATGCACACCACAAATGGTCAAATGACTGGCAAGTGCATTTTAATATCAACAAATGCAAGACCTTTCATGTGGAGCATAACAAACCACGTCACAACTACCAAATTAATAACATTACCTTACAGCAGTTAGATGAAGAAAAGAACCTTAGAGTCAAAATCCACCATTCACTGAAAGTTGCCATTTAACCATTCATTCTATTCACTGAAAGTTGCACAAGTTTAAAAAAAAAAAAAAAAAAAAAAATGTAATAAAATGCCATTTTCTGGGTGAGACCCGGAGGCTCCCTGGAGCTATCCAGGCTGATATTGCTAATATTAGACTTTGGCATCAGTCGGTGCGAATGGAGTTCTTAAGGCCTACTGGGGACCACAAGCCAGAACCTGGCCCCCTCAGAGAGACACGCAGAGCAGTGGCCTATAGAAAACCCCCATGTGGTTGGAAGCATTCTATGTCTGCCATCGATCGGGTCAGGCACCCAGAAAGGTAAGCATCCCAAAACAAACCCCTATTATGGTTAAGAAATTGCTCCCGAGTGTCGAACTAGTGGACAGAACTCCCCAAACAAAAACAAGCATGACGTCACCATGTCGCCGCGCTGCCATCTGGTGCAGCTTCCCCCTTCCCGGGAGGGAGAAGAGGGAGCCCCAGACCCCTAGTAAAACAAAAAACTAGTAAAGCATCTGGAGCACAGTACAGTGGTTAAGAAAATGTTTTACCAATGGCACAGCACTGTTGTATAACGTAAGGGTTGAGAGCACATGGCCTGGACAGGTCCACTTGGCAGGAAGGCACAATACATAGGCCACCAGGCAGACAAAACTAAAATTTAGCAGGAAACTACAGCCTGTAGACATAGATTTAAAGAAATTTGTATTTACATACACACAGAAATCCCACTAACGTGATACAGTATATATCAATGAGAAAATCCACTAGAGCCGTGATGTGAACCTGCGACCACTGCATTGCCAGCCGCATACTCTACCACTAGACCACAGCTGACTTAAAAGTCATACAAAAGATCCTTTTGACTTAAAAGTCAAAAGTATCTGATTTCACAGAAAGTGAAAGGAAGCGATTTCAGTAGAAATCCAGCTGTATGACTTTTACAAGTCAGTGGTGGTCTAGTGGTAGAGTATGCGGCTGGCAATGCAGTAGTTGCAGTTTCGCATCACCTCACATCCATAGAGAATTTTCTCAAATTTGTAATTGTTATAATATTAGATAATATTTCTTTAGTTTTTACTGTAATGAATTGTTTTAAAATAATTCTTGGTTATTCTATACAATACAGATCATAGGCCCCTCATATCCAAGACAGCCCCCCCACCAACCCGACCCGACCTTATCCCCCAACACCCCCTACCCTGAAACCAGCCACACCAACACCACCTATACTCTGCGACTCAAGCCACTGCTGTTTAAGATTACAGTATATGGTATGGCTCAATGCCTATCTGAGCATCTGGCAAAATCTCTGGTTATCCAAATTGCTATTTGGATATGGCCATTTTGACAGAAAAATATCCGGCCACAAATTACACTAGATAACCTAGATATTCGGATCAGCGAGTTCATACAGTATATAAACATAATAGAAGAAAACTATGGATATACTGCATATTGGACAAATTTAGTCAGGAAATATGTAGGTAAATAGTGGTTTGGAGATAGGATATGCTAATGGAACAGATTACTAGATAACAAAATTGATGTGGGATCACTAGATTGTCTCAAACGTAGCTCAAACATATATGAATGAGCTTAGGTGAATATAAATAGCTGTTGCCTGGTATAGGCCAATAGGCTTTCTCGGTTGACTTTGTTCTTACCCATGTACACATGAGGCATGTTCTTATGACAAGCTTTTAGACTTTTCAATTTATAGAAAAATTAGTACATTTTACAGTTTAGAAAAATTAGTACATTTTACAGTTTAAAAATAGAAGTACCCTTTAAACTTATTTGAAAATACTGAACAGTAATGAATTAGAGCATACAATCTACAATCACCTGGACAGATAGATCTAGGCAAGTTTGGGTTATAGCTTTGGCAAGTCCTAAACAATTGTTTAATACTTGAAACTTAGTACAGTACACTCCCAAATATTTTGTATAAATCTTTTTAAAATATATGTTATTGTAATGAGTAAATTTAATTTAAAGATAATATAAGATATTTTCAAGTGAACGAATACAATAGATAATCAACTAAATGGTTACAAACCTGGATTACAGCTAGGAGTGAGGAAGCTTTGGGTGGAAGATGGAAAAAGTCTCATCCCATCATGTGACTCTACAAAGCAAACACCATTGTTCTTCCCTCTACCAGTCTTCAAGGCTTGAGGACTAGTTGTAAATTCCACTGAAAAAACATCAGTTAGACATTAATAGAAATATTGTACAGTATATATTGTAGGGGGGCTACAAGCTTCTAAGCCATACACTGGAGTACAAACTATCGAAACCCTTCCTTTAATGCATGAAATTTATTATAAAGGCAAAGGCAAACTAGGGTCTGCTCTATAATACTCCTTATAGTACACCAATGATCAAACTAACCTGGGCAGGCATTCCTCACTCCTAGGGGGTCAAACAAGGTTAAGGTATACAAGCAGGGACAATAATAGTTGTCTACTATTATTGTCCCTGCTATTGTCCTAAAACTACAAAGGGTTTTATTTCTCGAGCTTAAAATTACAATACTTTACAGTCACTCTTACAATGGAGGTAATATTTTCACAGACCAGGCATTACTTTACTGGTCTCACAAAAACCAGGACTAACATCAGTTACATTAATTTGAAGTCTTCTCAACTTGATATGCAAATTTCAAATATTCTAACAGCACAAAGTTCTTACTATGATAAGGTATGATAATGGGAATGTTTAGTAATCATCAGGATGATGTCAAGGAGTATGATGTTCTAATCTTTCACCGGTCCTAATGTATGATATGACATCGGATGTTTTAAGGGGAGCCGGTCGGCCGAGCGGACAGCACGCTGGACTTGTGATCCTGTGGTCCCGGGTTCGATCCCGGGCGCCGGCGAGAAACAGTGGGCAGAGTTTCTTTCACCTTATGCCCCTGTTACCTAGCAGTAAAATAGGTACCTGGATGTTAGTCAGCTGTCACGGGCTGCTTCCTGGGGGTGGAGGCCTGGTCGAGGACCGGGTCGCAGGGGACACTAAAGCCCCCGAAATCATCTCAAGATAACCTCAAGATAACCTACTATGTAACAAATTTTTGATATAATAAATATACCTACAGTACTATAATAATACAGTAGTGTGATATGGGACATGCTCAGGAATGACCCTCAATACAATACACTCTAAAATGGACGGATCAAACAACACTTATTACTAACCGACACCTGGGACATTTAAGCAAAATATATATCCGACACCAAATTATCAGAGAGATAGCACCACAAATATGGCAAACGAAGTCTGCACTTTGCTACACTATTGGTAAAACTTGCCAAGTGTCCCACTGATGTCGGAGAACTCCCCACAGTATACTTCACCACCAAAGTGACTGAATAACTGGTGTGCATTCTCTCTCCAACTGCCAGTGTTCCAATAATACTACTACTTCAAATCATATCCCCAACTAATTTCTTCTTTCGTCTCATTGAAAAAGTATCTCTTGTTTTCAGTCCTGCATTGTGGCTTTTTTTTTTTTTTTTTTTTGAGATATATACAAGAGTTGTTACATTCTTGTACAGCCACTAGTACGCGTAGCGTTTCGGGCAAGTCCTTAATCCTATGGTCCCTGGAATACGATCCCCTGCCGCGAAGAATCGTTTTTTCATCCAAGTACACATTTTACTGTTGCGTCAAACAGAGGCTACAGTTAAGGAATTGCGCCCAGTAAATCCTCCCCGGCCAGGATACGAACCCATGACATAGCGCTCGCTATGCTCGCTTTAAACCATTGCTCCTTGTTTGTTACCTCTGACCTTTTGAAGAAATTGTCTGGAACATCCTCCAAATTTTTCAGTACAGTATTTAAAAGTTTCAATAGCTAAATGAATTGTTGGGTTCAGTCCCTGAGCCCATTATGTGCCTCTGTAACCGTTTCCACTACCGCCCACAGGATGGGTATGGGGTGCATAATAAGTGAACTAAACTAACGATGAAATCTGCTCTGTCATGCCTGGTTTGCAGAGTTGTTAGCCCTGAGGCCCTTAACCATCCATGGTACAAGAGTTAACTTATTTCTGGAATGATTTTTGTTGCCCAGTGTTGTAATTTCTCCTAAGCAGCTATGTCCTTATGAAGATGATGTCTCCATGCTTGGATACAATAATCTATGTGGGGTTGCACCAAAGATTTATATAGTTGAATCACTAACTTCTTTTCTTTAAAGTCAAAAGATACACATGATTATTCCTAGGCTTTGGTTAGCCTCTTTTTTTTTTTATGGCTGCTCCTACCTGTTCTGCAATTTTCAGTGAATTGGGGATTTTGACTCTATGATACTTCATCAATCTGCTGTAATGTGATGTTATTAATTTGGTAGTTGTGGCATGGGTTGCTATGCCCCACATGCAAGGTCTTGCATTTATTGATATTAACAAGCATTTGCCAGTCTTCTGGTCATTTGTAGAGTTCATTAAATCTCTCTGTAAGGCTTCAGTATCATTTTCCACTTTACCATAAATCTTTGTATCATCTGCAAATTTGATGTGGTTTATAATATTCTCATCCATATCATTGATGTATATGACAAAAAGAGTAGGCCCCAAAATGAACCTCTGTGGTAACCCACATACCCCATTTTCCCAGTCAGATTTAGCACAACCATTTGTTTTCTTTGTTTTAACGACTGTTTTATCCACTCTAGTATTCCACGTGCCTGTAATTACCTTGCAAGCCTTTCATGTGGTACCTTATTAAAGGCTTTAGCAAAATCCATGTACATTGTACTACATTTACCAGAATCTTTCATCTGAATAGGTGGTTGTGTGTAATTAACAGATGTGCCTGTTAATTCCACAACCTTTCTTTAAGAGTTCCACTTTCCACAAAGTTCAACACTAATCCTAGGTCCACTAATTACAATTACTCTCTCTTCCAAAGTGTACAGACATCAAGGACGCTGTGAGGCAAGTTGCTAAATGTTGGTCGGTTTGAGAAAGTGAAGCTTGTACAGGTAATAAACCATCAATTCATAGATTGCCAGTCAGTCTAACTTCAATAGTGGTTCAATACAGATGCACAAGAGATACTACAGATATTCAACACCAACATTCACAAGCAACAATGTACCACTTGACGAGTCCAGTTCTTCTCACAAAACACTACAGTCTCATCACAGAGCAGAAGCAGAGAGCCAGATTGTGGTCATATATGAGCTTCCAGCTCTCGTCCCACTTTCAGGCTTTCTACCCCAGCTTTACTCAAGCTCTGCTCCCTGCTCCAGGCCTCATCTCAATACAACATTATATATCTAACAATCAACTGCTGTAACCAAGACTATTAAACAACCATCAAAAACCACTAAATCCTTCGAGTCTATGACCCAAACACACATACGTAAACATACATTACACCATTACCATTTTGTACATTGCGATCATATCCCAGCTTTGGCATATTTAATGCCTCTAACTTGGCATTTACGGCATCAGCTGGTAGGCAGTTCTGTGGGTTTATAGCCCTTTGGGTGAAAAAGCATCTCCTGTTCTCCTACATTGCATCTCCTACAAAGCATCTCCTACATTGTGGCTTGTTGAGCTTGAAACTGTCGATCTGTGTTACATCTGACTTTTAAAAACAAAATTGTCTGCATCAACATCCTCCAAATTGTTCAGTACAGTATTTTAAAAGTGCCAATGAGATCTGCCCCATCATGCCTGGTTTGCAGTGTTAGCCTTGTGGCCCATAGTTTCATAGTGCCTGTGGCCCCTGTTTATGTAGAAAATTAACATTTAATGGTGCTAGAAATGAACTGTGGTACTCCACAAGTGACATTTCTCCAGTGCCTGTTCTAGCTTGTAACCTCTCTATTTTTATATATGCAAGAATTCTTGCATTCTTGTAAAGCCACTAGCATGCACAGCATTTCGGGCCAGTCCTTAATCTTTATTTCCCCTGGAATACGACCCGCCAAATTGTTTAATAACCAGGTACCCATTCAATGCTGGATGAACAGAAGTGTACAGTTAAGGATTGGCACCTAGTCAATCCTTCCCGGCCAGAATACGAACCCAGGCCAAATCGCTCGCAAAGTGCAGGACAAGTGTCTTACCACTGTGCCACAGGGACTATTATGACAATTATACCTACTGTTATTATTAAACCTGTGTTTAAAATCCCTTGTTGGGTTACCCTTGAAGTTCACTAAAAAACACTATGAATAAAAAATTTAAGACTCAAAGTAAAACCAATAAAGCTAATTTATTTACCAATCTCAGTGTAGTCTTCAGGAGCCAGGTCAGTGATGGTGGTCACACTCTCTTGTGATGAGGGAAGCCTAGAGGAGCCTGATGAGTAGGCTGAAGAGGCAGCCAGATCAGGATCACTGGTGGTGAGCTCACTGGGTACCAGGGACACTTGAGAGGCTGCAGCACTCAGGGAAGGGCTAGGAGAACCCTTCATCTCCCTACCTGCTGATCTAACCAGGTCATCACTTAACTCCCTACCACCACCCATATTGATTTCACCATTCTCACCATGCATCACAACCTGGTGTAAATATTTAAGCCAATACCTTAAAAATTATAATTTATCTGACTTGTACAAGTACAGTGGTCCTCGTCATGTAAAAAATACTGCTCTAAGTGTTGCAGTGGTTATGGCCATGTAAACACATGGCTGTGTTACAGTGGTCCTGTCCACAAACAAAATGAATTTGGGAAGACCAATATTAAAAATCATTACACCATTTCCTCTTCAAGAGGAGGAATTTAAATAGAAAAATAAAAAAAAGGCAGTAGCATACAAAATATTAAAATATTTAGTGGCAGGCTTTCAGAACGGTATTTACAGTGGTACCTTGGTTTACGACTGCCCTAGATTACGATTTTGTTGGTATACGACGTCAAATTCCTCTTAAAATTTGACTGTATGACGTTTGCCTTGGAATGCGATGTCTGTTAATACATGTATGGGTCAAGCGAGTGCGTGGTTCTGCTGGGTGCGGGCAAGGCACGCTCAGTCTACCAGTGTCTCCTATCTAGTGACAACTGCGCTTGAATTCTTTGTAAATAATTTCAGTGTTTTTCTGCCTTTTTGGTTTCTGAACAGTAAAGTTCTTATTATATATCACGCCATGAGTTCCAAGAAGGTTAGTGGTAAAGTTCAACCTACGAAAATAGTTGAAGAGGAAAACAGAGATCATTCACAGTGAATGAATGTGATGTCTCACTACAGACAAGTGTTAAAACATAGTAAAAAAAAAAGTATCTTTAGACAGATTCTCAATAAGACAAGCAAGTAGTGAGCCAAAACCAGGTCCTAGTGGTATACCTGCAAAACACAGGAGTACCCCAGAAATGTCATCACTGCCTGATGTTATAATGGAAGGGGGACTCCCCTTCCAAACACAAACACATCTCCTCCTCACCATCTTCCATACGCCAACAAGAGTCCTCATTAAAGATATACTTGTACTGTATATACTGTAGTACAAAATATAAGTACAAAATATAAGTAGTATGTATAAAATGTATTTTTATGTTAACAATTTTGGGGTGTGGAACAGATTAATTCAATTTACATTATTTCTATTGGGAAAATTCATTACGGTTTACAATTATCTGTTTACGAACTGTCTCTGGGAACGGAATAAATTCGTAAACAAAGGTACCATTGTATATACTATGCTTAAAGCCACTAATATGCACAGCTTTTTGGGCAAAATGTGGAATAAAAACTTAAAAATTAACACTTAAGACTAATCGAGATCAAAAGCATGAATTGAACTGAAGTAGAAGAATGATTGACAATTACATGTTGAATGAACAGAAGCAATTGCAACAGAGCAGCAGATAGTAATTTTGAATAAATAAACAGATGGACTACAATTTTCTTAAGTTGATGGCAGATATTTGCAATTTTACTAGTCATTAATATTTAATAATAGAATGACATAGATTGACATTTAGAAGGTAAGGTTAAATAGAGTTGATTAGGTAGTACTTAGGTTTCTCTTAAACTGGTCAAGAGATGGGCAGTCTTTGACGTGATTGGGAAGGTCATTCCATGAGCACCACACCAGAAATAAATATCTCCAATATCACCAGTCACACTAAATCTGTGCAAACACTTCATGCAAATAAAAGGGCCCAATCTTTGGAACTCACTCCCTGATGAATTAAAAAAAATTGTCCAACCCATGCCCTGTTCAAAAGTAAAATAAAAAAGTACCTAATTTCATCCTCATAGTTTCCTACCTTGTACTTCAAACTCACAGTGTATCTTGTACTACTCACTTTCCCAATATTAATAATACAGTACTTAAGACACAGTACATCCTTACCAGTGTAATCACCTGTCAACTAATATTGTAGTTATTTGCCAATATAAAAGCCTTGCTATAATGTACATTTTCATCTTACCCAGTATGTCAGATTAACCCTTAAGCTGCACAAAACATACAAAGACGACAGGGGGATGTAACTTAGTTTCTGAAACTTGCTCAAACGCTTTCAAGATTTTTTGTGCATAATCTGCTAATAAATGCTCCAACTTTGTTTTAAGTGATCACCAATGAAACTTGAAAAACAAGAAAAATTAATTCTAAAATTGAATATTGAAAACTTCATATTTTGAAATCAGCTGTAAAAGTGTAAAATATCAAATGTTTATTCGGTGTTATTATACTCTCAGAATAGCATATGATCTTTATTTTCATAGATTTAGAATATAGGTTTTCAGTATAGTTTACTGTAAAAAAAAAATTGTCTATGGCATTTGAAATATGCACCAAATTTAGACAACAAAATTTACAACTCCATGTTTGGGGTTTATGAAAAATCCATTCTATAGGGATTGTAGAATAGACAGCTGTGCACACTATATGGAAAAAATGGTGAGAATCTGTCAAACTGGATTTCTTGATGCTGACTAAAGTTGAAACTCCAGTTTTAGAGATAATTGAAGTTGAAGTTATCGACAATGAATAAGGTAGTTCTAATTTATTAATTTACTTGTATGTTTTAATAAACATTGTTCAGCATTCATACTCGAATATGTAAAGTTGTAGATCAATGTGTGTTGAAATGAAGTTAAGAAAAAATAACCTTCCAAAAAACAAAATATAGGGATAATTATAATGATTTAGGGGTTATATATATATAATATAAAGCCCTAATCTGGTCCCCAATCATCAAAACAACCTAAAGAAAAAAGAAAATAGTTTGAAATCTGTGAAAAAATCAGCCAAAAAAAATTCAATGTCCCAAGTTCTTTCATTTGTGAATAATTTATTTACTGACCAATTTCATACTATCTTCACATAGTTAGGGATAGGTATGCACCCTCCGAGATTTGAAGGTTACAACAAAATCAAATAATAAAGAAAAAAATTTCCCTTAAAAATTTTTTGGGGGGGACATTGTTGTAAGTACTGTAACAGATATTAACATTGGGTAATGTACTTATATGATATATAACAATATAGAGCATAGTTACATACATACTCATTATTATTTGTGATATGTATTACTTAGCAATGCTATAAACCCACTAGCTGCACATCCACTTGTGAACGCTTCTTACTACTACAGTGCATTCTTCTTTGTGCGTCGGATAGGTGCTTGCATCTCTATTACTACATTATCCCTCAGTTCCAGTTAATAGTAGCTGTTCTCCTTAACAAAATGGTTTTATAAAATTCATCTAAAGACATTTTCTGATAATATTTTGATGAAACTTTCATGACGCTGAAGCCAATAAGTTGGAGATTTGTTTAACATTTAAGTAATTTTTACATAATCCCTGTTGGGTTATTTGTGAACCTGCGTAAGGCCTTTGACACTGTCAACCACCAAAACGTTCTTAAATTACATCATTATGGAGTCAGAGGACACACTCTGCAATACCTCAAATCTTACCTTACTAACAGGCTCCAGTATGTTTGTGAATAATTCAATTTCTCCCACCCTACCCATCAACATCGGTGTTCCTCAGGGCAGCATACTTGGCCCTCTCCTCTTTCTCATCTACATTAATGACCTTCCAAATGCCTCCCAACACCTCAAACCAATTCTATTTGCCGACGACACAACCTTCATTTACTCCAGTCCTGACCCCCTTGCTCTAAATCCCACAGTAAATACTGAGCTAAGTAAAGTCCATCTTTGGCTAACTGCCAACAAACTCACCCTTAACATTGACAAAACTTTCTATATTTCATTGTTTGGCAATAAATACTCTAATCAAATAAATCTCAGAATAAACAATACCCAAATATGTAATAAAATAGATGGCAAATTCCTTGGCGTTCTCATTGACCACAAGCTGAATTTCCAGGGACACATTCTAAATATATAAAAAAAAGTTTCAAAAACTGTTGGCATTCTAAGATCGGATATTATGTACCCCGCCCTGCCCTGGTGACGCTCTATTACTCCCTCATCCATCCATATCTCAACTATGGTATTTGTGCTTGGGGTTCTACTACCCAAAATCATTTACGTCCTCAAATTACTCAAAACAAAGCTGCTATTAGGACAATATCCAACTCTGGCCCCAGACATCACTTGGTACCCCTACTCAAATCTCTGAATATGTTAGATATTAGTCACTGCACATTCTCTCATGTGTATTATACATATATAAAACGCTAAACTGTAATGCCAATCCTGACCTCAAAAGCATCAGTGAAGGTTGTAACAGAACCCATGAGCACCACACCAGAAAAACACAGTTTTGATATTCCAAGAGTACGACAATCAAACTAGAAATGCTCTACAAATCAAGGGACCCAGAATGTGGAAATGACCTTCCCAATCATGTTAAAGACTGTACCTCTCTCAACCAGTTTAAGATAAAAACAAAGCACTACTGTACCTAATAAATTCCCTGTAACCTACCTTACCCCTATATTGTCAACCCATGTATGTTTTTTTAAACAACGCTGTTTGTCGACCTAATTGTATTTGTGCTGCTTTTTCAGCCATGTTCCCTCTTTTATTTTTATTTTTATTTGTTCTCAACACATTTTATACTTTAAACTCAATTAGTATTAAGTTTTAGTCTTTAATGTTTTTCCTGCCCGAAACGCTTTCCATAATAGTGGCTTTAGGCATTGTATGTACTAGCTCTATCTATAAATGAATCAATTTTTGTAAAATCTCTTGTATGTATGTACCTTACCTGAATAAACAATTATTATTTATTATTATTATTATTATTATTATTAATCAAATATTTTTTGCCTTCCGGCCCCTTATGCTTAACAGCTTATGGGTCAAGGATCTACCCAATACCAGTCTCCGTGGTGTAGTGGTAAGACACTCGCCTGGCGTTCCGCGAGCGCTTTGTCATGGGTTTGTATCCTGGCCGGGGAGGATTTACTGGGCGCAAATCCTTAACTGTAGCCTCTGTTTAACTCAACAGTAAAATGGGTACTTAGTTGTAAAAACGATTCTTCGTGCGGTTGTATTCCAGGGATCTGCCCGAAATGCTACGCATACTAGTGGCTGTACAAGAATGTAATAACTTTGTGTGTGTGTGTGTAA